GGCAGCGGCACGATCAGTAAGGGTGGGTACACTGCTATTGGTCGGGCCGTGGTCATCATCTCCAGGGAGTAGCCATAGCCATCTCCAGCCGACTCCAACCTTCGGTAGTTGAGGTAACACCGATTGATGAGCGTATTATGGCATTAAGACTGAAGCATGCTTTTGGCTTCATCTCTCTTATTGTTGTGTATGTTCCTACCGATGGTTGCAAACCCGATGTTAAAAGGCGTTCTACGCCAAACTCACATCCTTGGCAGACAACTGCCCCCGGCGAGACATTCGCATTGTTCTGGGCAACTTCAATTCGGTGTCCAGCCTCCTCCTCCGGGACTTTGCTAGGTCCTAGAAAATGAGGATTTCTGGCTCCTGGCATCAGCGCTCCAACCCGCATCGTTGGACATGGTATAGCGATATGGGTACTGTGTCCAAGGAAATCGACCACATTCTTGTCAGCACTCGATGGAGGATCCTCCAGAACTGCAGGATTTAACCGGAATGTCGAGTTCTGTGTCACTGACCAAAGGCTGGTTGTGGATACCCTACAGGTCCAACTTCAAAACTCCTCAATCCTCCAGTGGCCATTCTAGGGTGTTTCACTTGGACAGACTGAAGGAGGAGGAGTGTGCTTGTGGGTTCACCATGATAGTCTTTGATCGATTCACTGAACTCGAAAACTTGACGGACCCAGTTGCTCTGTGGGAGTCCTTCAAGCGCAAAACACTCGATGGAGCGCAGGAATCCATTGGCGTACACCCGAGGGCAAGGCAGAATTCCATCTCCTCGGAGATAATGGAGGCCCCTGAAGCATGTCGCATGGCTCGGCTGAATGCCAATCAGGAACCTTGCTGAGGAGGTTGAAGGCCATTTCTTGGTTAAATGACCTTCGCCCTGCCTACCAAACCCTGAGAAACCAGCTCTAAGCCTCCTCGCAGATGACTGCAGTCTGCTCAGTGGATGGCCAGATCATCTCAGATCATGTTGGGATTCGTGAACGTTGGGTTGATTATTTTGAGCAGCTGTACAGGTAGACCCTCCAACAGTTAGCTTGGATGCAATTGCTATCACAATACCTGTGCCAGACCCACCCATTAGTGAGGAACCTCCTACCCTAACTGAGGTTAAGATGGCAATTTCCAAGCTGAAGTGTGGGAAAGCCACAGGTATATGTGATATCTCTGCTGAACTGCTAATGGCTGGGGATGAACCTATGGCATGGGGCTTGCATGCAGTCTTGACTGCTGTGTGGCAGTTGGTACCATCCCCCCTGACCTGTTGAGGGTTGGTCATCCAACTCTGGAAGGGGAAAGGGGATTGTTGGGATGGTAGCAATTACCGTGGCAATACACTGCTTAGCATACCAGGCAAGGTTTTAGCCCACATTCTTCTGAAACGGATCTGCAACCACCTACTAAAGCAACAGAGACCAGAGCAATCTGGATTCACTCCTGGCAAGTCCATAATAGACCATATCCTAGCGCTTCGAGTAACTGTTCAGTCATGGGTTTCTTGCAGCCTACATCGACCTCAAGAAGGCATTTGACTCGGTGCATCGAGAATTGCTATGGTAGATTCTGAGACTTAGGGGAATTCCGACCCAGTAAGCCTATATATCGGCACTGAAAGTGCTGTAAAGTATGGTGGGGGCCTGTTGAACTTCATTCCTGTTAATTCAGGGGTGAGACAAGGCTGTGTCCTTGCACCAACACTTTGCAACACCTGCATGGACAGGATAATGGGCAGAGCTACTACCCAAAGTCAGCGTGGAGCAACATCAAAATCTCAGACCTTGACTTTGCCGATGATGTTGCCATCCTATCTGAGTCCCTGGAGTCACTGGTGGCAGCTGTTGATGCATTTAGCAATGAGGTGAATCCCTTGGGCCTAGAGATCTGTTGGACCAAGATCATGATTCAGGACTTTGGGGGCCTATTAGGGGAATCTGTTCAGTCGATCCATGCTTCCGGTGAGGACGTTTAAGTCACAGAAAGCTTTGCATACCTTGATAGTGTAGTTCATATCTCTGGGCTGTCAGACCAAGAAGTCAGTAGACGGACTGCTTTGGCAGTAGGAGCCACAAACTCAATCAACAAGAGCATTTGGAGATATCTGTACCTATACAGAAGGACCAAGCTACGTGTCTTCAAGAACCTTGATACTGCCAGTTTTGCTCTATGGAAGCGAAACCTGGACGCTATCAAGTGCCTTGGAGTCTCTTCTTGATGCCTTTTGTAACAAGTCTCTTTGCCGGATCATGGGGTACAGTTGACAAGACCAAGTGTCCAACCGATGGCTACACCGTGAGACTGGCATGGGACCTGTTACTTACCTGTTACTCCCTGGAGACTCGTTATGAGGGACTCTCGTGGCTGGAAGCGAAGGGTGGATGCGGCCATGCGCCCCCGTCAGCGTTGATGATGAGGATGATACACACACACTAATATATATATGTATATATATATATATATATATATATATATATATATATATATATATATATATA